CGTGTAAATCTTAAACACAAAGAAATATATTGTGACCAAAACTATTACAGAGTGCAGCCATTAAATTAGTAGTATAAATACTAATTTGTCAAAAAGAAACAGCAAAATAAAGTAGCATTCCTACATCTTAAACTTTATGCTTTATTTTGATCAGATGTAAATGATATGAACAAATAATTAATAATTAATTACTTTAATTAAGGGAATAATTAACCTAATAGCTTGGCCGAGAAAATTCATTACTGCTTCACTGTGTGCTTTCAAGCACTCATCAGTTCGTTGCTTTTCCAAATTTGACTTAGCTATCGATCGAAATGCAAATAACTCGTAATATTCAGGATGTACAGAAAACATTCTGAAAGCAGCACAATGGCAATAAAAAATTAATGGTAAATATCTTCAAAGAAATTTATAAATTCATAAATAAATAAATAAATACATAAATAAATAAAATCAATTTAAAATATTTAAATAAGTAAATAAATAAGTGCTAGCGCCATTTTATCAATCTTTCAAGACGAGGCTAGTCTATTTTTCTAAACATTTGCTACTTTTCATTAGCAATTACAATTTCTAATTCACTGAGAAATATTCCTGGGCCCTCGTCACGTAGTAGAAATTCCTCTGTAATAAAATCAATTTCTTCAGGGAAAAGTTGCATGATTGGTTTTGAGCGCATTTGAGTCTAAGGCATGCTTAACTGACACATGTATTCATTATTTGAAATAAGATGAGATAATGAGATGGGCTTAAGCTCAAAAATTACGCTCATCTCATTATTGAACTAACAAGATGAGCTTAATTAAGAGGAAATGCTTTTGTGCTCTCAAAAATAGCACTGAAACTATTTTTGAGCACACAAAAACATTTCCTTTGAATTTAATTTGTATTAACAAAATTCGGTCCTTAAATTATTACACTGCATACTTGCAGTTTCCCAATAAATGAGCTAAGAACTTGCAAGTATTGTAATAACGAATGCAAAGAATGGAAATTTCTGAAGTTTGCTTCGCAAGTAATTAACACTGCCAGAAATAGCACTGCGAGCAACAGAATCGCAAGAAGTGGTCAGAAATTCAAAGCAGATTTTGACTAAATCAAACAGAAGTGAGAATATATTCAGAGATAAAGATTTTCTGGAATATGACTGAATTTGTCGCGTGGTAGCGGCATACTTGAGCCAATTAGAATAAAAATAAGAGTAAAAGAGTTTTGTTCAAGATTATAATAAATAAAGAAACAGCTGGAATTTAGGGATAACGCTATTGAATAACAATAATCACTTGCAAACATCCTAACACCACACAGCTGATTTATTGCAGTTATTGCTGATTTTAATGCTCGAAAACATAATATACAACTAAAATACTAAAAGAATTAATGACGTGAAAAAGCTCACTTCATAAACATTTCTACGCCAGCAGTGGTAACAACGCGTGATATACCTTTCCAATTTTTTGTTATCAAATACTTTTGCCTTGTATTTAACGGAATACGTGAGTTAATTTTCTCATCTTTACCAGTTGACGTTTTCGATGACATTTCAGTCAGTGTAAAGTTTGTGGAATCCACAGATGTTGTTTTTGAACAAAAACAACGAAAACAAAACATTTTCTGTAAAGCAAAACATTAAAACATACGATCGAGTAGCATTACTTGCTGGACTTGCAATTTTTTCAAAATATTATCTTTTTTCGTCAAAGTTTTTTGCACAACTAAGCTATCACACAAAATATTCCACAAAATATTTTATTTAAAATGTAAATTAAATCGATTTCGATGAGAACGTGACAATTGAAATTGTTACTGGATATTATTTTTGTTAGTTTAAGTTTGAAGTAGATAAGTAAATAAGCCGATTTTTATCATTCCAAATATTTCGACAAAGTTACTGAAATTTTTTCATATTAGAAATATAAGCGTATGTGCAACATTTTCAATATTTGTCAAGTTAAGCAAAAAAGAAGACATCATCGAAGAAAGACTTTTTTCGCTGTTTGCTACTAGATAATAATTAAAATTTATTAAAAAATGGGAAAGTATTCAAGAAATTGAAATCGAAGAAGTCTACTTTTGCATTTATATCCGTTAATATCTAAAAAATATTTGCCAACTGAAAATAAAGCTTTTAGTTTAAACAGAAAGTTATATTAGTCAATGACTGTTTATTCTAAGCAATTACTTCTACTTTCTTTTTCTCACAAAAATTTCACTTTTCAGTGTGATACTTAGTACTTGTCATAAACTGTATACAAAATGCATTAGTTAAACTGGAAGTATGGATTATGAGAAGGTTAGACATCCAGTAGTACAACATATAATTCAAATTTTGTGAATTTTTGATAAAAATTATAAGGTTTGATTGAAAAATTGAAACCAAGTAGACAAATGACAAAAGCCAGAGAGTTTTGGCCAAAATTTGGATCGGCCAAGAATGAGCATTCCTTGCCTAATTTCTCACAGAATTTGCTTTCAAGTGCGTCTTTCTTTCACATTTTTATCAGAACTATTTCTGACATCGAAATACTAAAAAAAAGAAAAAAATATGGAAAAAATCGCTCACTACTTACTGAACATTTTTTTGCAAAAAAGTCATTCAGCATCGTCATTGTCATCATCTTAATAATAATCACTATAAATGCCATCATCTTAATAGTAATCATTATAATCGCAGTCACAATCATTAGCGTTACTGTTGTAATTATTTGAGCGATAAAAAGTCTTGCAGTGTCATTTGCAAAACTAATATGAAGTTCATAAGTAAAAAATTGTATTTTTTATTAAGCTGTCACTGTAGTAGTATATTGGCTATTTTTGGTTCTGCTTGAGGCAAAAGAAAGTCTTGGCTTTTTATTCAAACATAAAATGAAAAATAACTCTTAGCCTCGCAGTAATGAATTTAATTTTTTCTAACTGCACATGTTGCGCTACTAACAGAATATTAAAATTATATGATGATCGGATTTCATAAAAGAGACATCGAAAAGTGAAGAGCTACACATCTTTGCTTCTTAAAAGCAAGTTTTTTGAACCGATTCAGGACTGCTACTTTTGTATATCCGATATTCAGATATTCAAAAACATAGTCGAGTACTGAACTTCAGAATATGATAGCTACCAAAAATTTATCCCTTCTATAATAACTGAAAATGTGATTTTTATTGAAAGTAAAAGGAAATCACATTTAATCTATACTAAATAAAATACTGTTAACTGCGATCAATTAATGATCAGTTAATTATGGAAAATGATAGATCGATCAGTCCATCGATTGATTGGCATTCATAAATGAGGAATGATGGAAATAGCCGGGTTACAGCTGTACTGACTTTTTTCAATAAATGATGCAAAATGGCCTGTTCACGAGGCGGAGTAAATGCTGATAATCAGAAATATTCATTCCACTTGGCTTTCAGCTTACTCTTAAAATTTGAGAGCGCAAAGGCTTGGGGAAATGGCTTTGTTATAGACAAAGTGAAAAGACAGAAGTTATTACTTCTCTGGAAATAAGTGATTTTTGCTGTGATTCAAGCGTTACGCTAAGCAAGTTTATCGATGAAGACTCTAAGTGGCGACAAGTACAGAATTCTTGTGCCTCACTGAGCACTTTGTACAAATCACAGCAAACAAAAATGAAGTGAGACAGCTAATTGCTTCAATCGGACCAGAAGTAAGTTTCTGAGCCTCACGGCGAAGAATGTGCTCAAGCCGATTTTTCTTAATGACTGACAAAGAATAATGATCGATTAATCAAAGCGATAATGAAAAGCAAAATTATGAAGAAATTTTCGCTAATAACTGCAATAAGTGCATGAACTCAGGGGCAAGTGTTTATTTATTTGCACACAAATGATAATACTATCACTTTTTTATCGAAATCAATATGTGTTCTCGCAGCGTGGACAATTTTCTTTGCATATCTAAGATTTGTTTCTAAAAAAAGTAACTTGCGCATTAACGTCATGAAAATATACTTCTATTTTGTGCCACTCAAAGCCGTCTCCCCGAAGAAAGGCCTTTTCCAATAGTCAAAAACTCTGGAATCAGAGCACAATTAAAATTTAGTGAAACCTGGCTTTTGCTGAACTTGGAAAATAATTTATAAAATGTGAAAAAGTTACGTGAGATCAAACGTGAAAGTGGAAGAAAGTTAATTCAAAGAAATTTTGATAAATGCTTACAATTTGATTCAAAGTAGAAGACAGACATTCAATTTCAGTGGTAAATTTATTTATTAAAAACCAAAACGAAAAAAGTAGAATTAATCTGCGATAAGAACAACATTTCATCACGCAAGAAATAAATTTTATGTGTTGCAAAGGTTATTTCTGACTTTTTCAACTATGATTTGAAAACGTAATAGTCTCACACTCATTTGATATAGTCGTAAATTGTGAAGAAATTAAAAATGAACTGACTAATTTGAGCTGTGCTGAACTGCAATAAATTATTCAAACTGCATATGTGCAATGCAAATTGATAGTTATTTATAATTCTAGAAGACAACGCTCACACAAATTACTTAAATGTGCTCCATAGCACTGACATGTTCAAACTGTCCTAAAATGACAAATATTACAAATCACCTGCAAACTTTGTTCCACTACTCAGTAATGCAAGTAATTAATAATTTGCAAAAATGTTGATAGTTTTTTATTAAATGAAGCAGTTCAATATATGATAAATGAGTGTTGGCACCTTAATCACAATTGGGTTGCTTAGGTTACACAAAACATCTAGCTGTGCCTGAAATATGACATATGGTACAAAAGTTGTAGCAGTATTTTATGTGTAACTGGTAATTTAAGGTAGTAAATCGCTATCACTGCAAATTAAGAACAAACACAAAATTACTGAGATGAAATGAAGTATTATCCTTCTTGCTTGCAATACATAACCTCAGTAATATAAGATTTATGACGTCTGCATTGGGCAATGTTTTGAAGAAGAATTGGACTCATTAAAATGCAGATTAAAAAAGGAATAGTTGAAAACGTGAAAAAAGGCAATAAAGTAAAAGAGCAGTAGAGTATGTTGCATGTGCACAAGCTATTATTTAATTAACAGAATAATGGCAAAAAGTGGTATTTTTAGGGAAATAATTCTTTAGAAAGACTAGTTGAGTAATAGTAATAGTAATAGTAATAGTAATAAGAATAGAAATATAGTTAAAAATTAATGTGAGCAGTATGCATAAATATAAAAGATTAAAAAAAATTCAAGTTAGACTTTTTTCGTATTCTCATATAATTCCCAGAATTCAATTCAAAATCGAATAGAAACATCGTCAACTGCCTCGTTTACGTGAATCGCACCGCGAAACAGAGAAATAAGCTTATTTTGGCTTATATTTCATTGCAAAGCTAATTTGTAGATGAATTAAATTATCTCGAAATTGACAACCGCAAAGTCAGAAAAAATCTTTCTTCATTGGTTTTACAAGTTTTCGCTTTTTAAAATTTTCCCTCACAAGTTCAATACTTTTTCTTTTTTCTGGAACAATTTTTTGGTTAAATTTTTCCACAAGAAATATCTATCCTACGTTTGATCACAAGCTAAATTTGATCAAAATTTATCCAGTAAAAAATGGAAAATTAATGAATGAATTTAAAAATTTCAGTGGCGGTTAATCGACTATTTTCAGGCCATGTCGATAATTGCAACATCCAAATTTGCATTCATAACTGTGTAGAAAAAATGGAAGAACTTTGGAAAACAGAAATATATTAAAGTAAAGCAGAACTGCTCAGCTTAACAAATCTTTCTTCAGTTATTCCATTCGTGACACTAATCCATCTTGCTGCGCACTGAAAAGTTCGCAATTGTAACACGCAGTGTCGTACTTTCTTCTGGGCATTTCCACCAGATCAAAAATACTACTCAAACAATTCGCGGAAAATATAGCGCAACTGTGACAGCAATAGGATTCTAAAAAAAGATCAATCTTCGTCAACTATTCTATTCAAAGCAAATTTTTCAACGATAAGAAGAAACAACCATTCGCTTTGTATATGGGAGCTGATATAAATAACATCAATACAAGAACTCAACGTCCGCTTCATCAATTTAATTAATTATTCATCTGAAAAAATTTAAAATGCCAGAAAGCATTATTTTACATGGTCTTCAATTATACATATTTAGAAACAAAAACTACTAGTCAGCAATTGATTATTTCATTTTACTTTTTTTAAATCACGAAATGATAAATTTTAATCAAAATCTGAAAGATTATTTCATTTTGCTTCAGAAACCTAAATTTGCGATATTAGTTTTAGTTTTTTTAATGAGTTTTTTAGTCATATAAATTGTTTTCTTTAATAAAATTCAAAGTGAAAACTCCCTAACTTTTGTGAATTTTATGCCAAAAGCAATCAGTGGACTCAAGAATACTATCTAATGACTGTTAAAGTGATAGAATGAACTTTCTGAAAGTGGTTACTTATGAGTCATGCCCACGTAGCATGAAAATCACTCGAATTTTTAAATTTTGTTGCTATACAAATTAATCGAAAATAATTTTCAGAATTCACGTAATTTATTTGAGTTTATTTACTTGAGTGCTGTATTGTCAGACTGTGACTATTCGAAGTTGAAAAAATTTTTTACTA